AAAGCTAGGAGTCAGGTTTACCAACCAACCCAAGTTAAAATAAAAGACGTTCATATTTATCGGTTTCAACAATAAATCAAGTTATATCTCAAAAAGGAAAAATGTTTATTACCAACCCCAAGATTAGATTTGAAGCGTATATTTAAAGCTGAGAGTCAGGTTTACCAATCAAACCTAGCTTAAAAGAGGCAAAGAAGTCCATATATATATGTCGTTTTCGACATTAAATCAAGTTATAACTCAAAATGTGAAAGAGATAGGTGAAGTAATTTATAATATTTATAACAAAAACAATCAGTCTAAGCTAGCTAAGCTGTGACACAAGTTATAAAGTGCAATTTTTCTTTGTTGTCAATTAAATGTGACCATGTCAGCGCAATAATTTCAAGAATTCTTCTTGGTAGTTTCTAAGACTTTAAAGTCTTAAAATAGAAGGATACTAGGGTATAAAGTAATAATCGTGATGAAATCTAAAATAAGCAGATTAAGAGAATAATTGAATAAGATAGTTTCATTCAATTTAAATTTAGATAATTATTTTAATTATTTGTGTTACGTTCGTATAATGATATACGTAACAGTACCAATTTGGGTAAAATAATCCAAACGTAGTGTTCTAATCGTCCCATTTGCAATGTAAAGAGCGTTTTGTGTGTGTAACAGCGTACGCGCTCCAGATAATTGCGCCGTTAACGGCGTCTCGGACGTGTACGAACCGATCTGGTTCGCTTGCATCGCCTCCATTAAATTAGACCTTTTCTTAGTTCTTTGCCAAGAAAGTACGATCGGCATAAATCTCCCGCTGGTAATGGAACGGCGCAGCGGCGACCGCGCGAAATATAACCAACTTTCAAATCCAATTAAAAGTGCCACAAGATCGACCCTGTCTACTACTTTGTAATTGTTATTTGACCGGAAACCAAAACGGCGCCTCTCCGAAATGCGAAAGGAAACGGGGCGGCGGCTCGTTAGTTATGATTATGAAAGTGAGAAGTCGAAATCTGCAATGCAAGTTGATGCAGAGATCGCCGCGACGAGACGATGTAGGTCGTAGATCATCTCAGTTTGTACTTTTAGAACTTCATAAATTAACACACCTGACTGTTGAATAGTATTAAGTGACGACGTGTTCGCTTTAATCTTAATCGAAAATTAATTATAAAGACTCCATTTTTTTCAATTAACTTTATCAAATCATTTTATACGTTGATGATTATCTTAAATGAAGACCAACAGTAGTAAATTTCCAATCTGCCATCCTGAAACGAGCATCTGGTAGCTAATGGTACTGCTGTTCTTCGCATACTCGGCTTTTCTCGTCCCGTTAAATGGTACGGTTTGCACGCGTATCTACACGTGGAACGCAATCCTATTCGCTGTGCAATCCTCGGCACACGCTCCCGAAGTAAGCGGGAGAGGTAGAAGGAAAGTAGTGTGGCCCCGAAGAAGAGTTGTCTTCAGTTGCCGGCAAAGAGTCGCGAACGGCCGCCGTTTCGCTATAATATAATAACAGTGCCACTGTGTCACAGAAAATGACAACTTCGAGAAGTGCACCGTTGCGACGTGACAGTTCAAGTCATCAGGCAGAGCGAATATCGATGATTGCCCGGTGATCCACATTCTAGAAATAATTGTAAGCTTGTTTGTCACCATTTTTGTTTCGTCTCTTTCCCCGCATTTAGAATTCGCCTATTTAATGATTTTCTTTACGACTATGTCCGACGTGGAACGTGGAGAGAAAGAGGAGAGTCTCTAAACGCTTAATTGTTTAGGCCTTCTTCTTTGGCCTGTATAAGTAGATAATCGTTACTTGATTGGTTCATTAAATAGAGAATCGGAAATCGATTCAGTTTTCTTATCTTTAATTATTATTATGCATTATTAGTTGCAATAAATTTAATTATTTATCAATAATTTCACAAAAAATTTTTTTTACAAAATACAACCGATAAGCACTACTATATAAACCAAAATCGAACGATACAAATTCATACAATCGTGCTTCATCGTCCAAAATGCATCTTGTAATTAAAAACGCCACGATGTCCCTAGCCGTTCGTAACTTCAACATTGGAGTGGTAAGCTGCAGTGATACATCAAAAATTATCAACTTCCTCGAAAAACATTACTTCCCACACGCCTCCCTATGGAAATACGCCAACCTCCAAAACACCCCGGCCGTATTAGAAACTCTAAAAAAATTCTGGACGACCGCTTTAAGTCAAAACATTTCCGTTGTTGTCACCGATGAAAATGAGGAAATCGTCGGGTTATCTTGCAACATCGTAGTTCATAAACAAGCTGACATTAATTATGGATTAGATGAAACGATCAATAAGTTTCTTACCGAAGTTGGAAAGGAAATATATAAAAAATACGAAGATTTAGAACACTACTTCTATATCGTTTTTGTTGCTGTTCGTGATGGTTTCGCTCATTTTAACCTGGAAAAGAGGTTGGTTAATTTCTCTAAAGGTGTAGCAGCCGATTTTGGAGTGAAAATTATCCGAATGGATGCGCACAATGTTGAGGAAGCCAAACGTGCTAAAAAAATTGGATTCAAACTGGTTTACGAGATTGAATATAACGATTACAAAGATGGTGAAAAGCAAGTTTTTTTGGGGGATTCCCAAGATGTTTTTAGTGTGTTTACTATTAAGAGTAAGCACTGCCCATTTAGTTGTTTCTTATAAATTTATATTGAAACATTTAATTTAATAAATTAATAAAAAACCTCAAATTTATAAATTTGTAAAATAATTAATTAACTTGGAAACTTAAAATTTGGTATAATCTTAAACATTCTTTTATAAACCCAAAGAGTTTCATTTCCTAATTTCAAACACTTTAGGAGAAAAAGTTTTTTGATTTCATTCTGGAAAAACTAAATTTTTGAATATTTTTATAAATGTAAGGTTCATCTTGGAAACTTAGAATTTGGTATAACCTAATCTCAAACATTCTTTTATAACACCAAAAAAAATTCAGGATTCAATTCAAACCCGTTTCGGAGAAAGAAACGTTTTTGTATAAACTTCTTTTCAAAAATCGTCAAATTGACATATATGATTTTTAAATAACGTTGTAGGAAAAACTGTTCATGCAAAATATTTAAAATTTGGTACAAACTAACCTCAAACATTTTTCTTTAACGTTGAAAGGTATTATCTAAACCGCTTCGGCGAAAAAAATTTTTTTAACTTTTCAAAAACTTGATTAATAAGATTTGCTCTTAGTATAGATGAACAAAAAATGATTTATGAATAGAAAATCGTGATTTTGACTAACATTAAGTATTTTAAGTTGAGATGTATGGCAAAGTCATCGAGAGCGACAATAGTTTCCGGGCAAATTCCGGCCTAAATCTCTTCTTCAACATCTTTTCTTCTCTGTAGCACAGTCGTCGACACATTGACTTGGTCTTTCATTGAAAACCTCGCCGTTTTATCCGTTTATCGCCGACAATGAAGTTGGAAATTGACGATAATTGCATTAGGTTCTGTCGGTTATTTAGCAATTTGAGTGGCACATGAATAGCGTCATTGACAGGTGAATTTTCAACACATTTCGTAGGATCTCGTTTTACAAATTAATTTATTTATTTACACATTTAGGTCAAATATGGTATAATTTTAATAAATTTAATTTAATTATAATTGATTACATTAAAATTATTTATTTTATTTTAAACATTTAAATAAAGGACGTTTGCTTTTTATGGCAAAAACGCTAAAAACGTCTTCTTCGGATTCTTCGGAAAAGATTTCTTCTTCACCTTCAGCTTTATATTCGCTATATTTTATCTCATTGACAAGTGTAAATCCAATTTTTTTGGCTGTATTAGCTTCGGAAATAGTGTGTGAATCCAATCGGACGATGGCTAATCCATAATCGGCCGCGATAATCCTAGAATAATTAACCAACCTCTTTTCAAGACCAATATTACTGTAATCGCCGCGAATTCCAAATAAAGCTATATAAAAATAATGCGCTATATCTTCGTGTTTTACATAAATTTCTTTTCCCACTTCTTTAATGAACGCTTTGATGGCTTCTTTATTTCCATCTTGTCCACAATCAACGGGTAACTCTTTATGGACGACGATGTTACAAGCAAACCCGATTATCTCCCCGGATTCATCGGTGGCAATCACAGAAATGTTTTGGCTTAATGCAATCCTACAGAATTTCTTCAAATTTTCGATGGCTTCTTCGTTATTATCAAGATGGGCGTATTTCCAGAAATAAGAGTTGGGCACGTAATGTTCTTGAAGAAAATCGAGGATTTTCGGCAACTCGGAGTAATTTGCCATTCCAATGTTAAAGTTGCGAACGGCAAAGGACATTGTGGTGTCTTTAATTGTAAGATGCATTTTGATTAAAAGCTAATGGTGAAATGACTAATTTGAACGAATCGGTTTTGATTTTTATAGTGCTTCTTATCGGTTAAAGAAATTTGTTAATTCGATTAAATTACGAAGTAAGTTTACAAAATCGAAAAAAGTATTTGAAATGTTAATAGAAAGAATGAAATCGCTTGTGATTCATGTTAAATTTCGGTATTAATTTATTTTAAAGGAAGTTCATGTTTGAATTTCGTTCTTTAACTTTTAAATATCTAATGGAAAAGTATTTACATATTTCCATATTAATATCACACAGTAATCAATTCGATAAATCTGTGGATTAAGTAACTACTTCCTATATTAGCCAGGTATGCGCCTCGCCGGTTACCGCTATTTGCATAAATAAACACAGGACGTGGCGGAGGCATTTATATGTACGTAATTGATTTTACGTTTGTACAAATAGCCACAGCATAGAAAGGACAAAAAACGTATTGTTAATTACCTAAAACGCTAACCCTAACGGTTCAACTTTTTAACACAAGAAGTCTTCCTCGAGCTTTAACAGGAATAACTACTCGCATAAGTATTAATACTTTCCCATTTAAATCAAATTAGAATATTTTTTTAATTCTTAATTTATACATTTTTAAGGGCCCAGTATGCTCTGGATGGTTTTGTTGAGCGCCGTGTCACTGTGGGCAGCTCCAGGTAATTTACTCTTACTCGCTACCACACTTCTTCCGAGGTCAAGGTAACAGTTCCAGAGTTAATCTCTTCGGGCGAGCGACGTGTAAGATCTAATCTCTTCTCTTTGGAGAGATAATCTACTTCTTGCCGTGCTTCTAATTTGCGTCTCACGTCCGCCGCGTGAAGTGAAGAACCGCTGGGAGAAAGTGACTCCGACTCCACGTTGAGAGATGTTGTTAAACTTAACGGCTCCTGTCCTTTTCCAGCGTACCAAATCAGCCCGAAACCTTGCTACGTCGACGGCATGGAAGGAACTTGCATGTTCGTCTGGGAATGCATCAAATCAGAAGGTTACCACATAGGGATGTGCGTCGATACCTTCATGTTCGGATCATGTTGCGCCCATAATATCACAGAGAACACGGTTTTGCCGCAGTATTCAAATAAGCCGTCTATTTTATACACTCCGCCTAGTCATCATAGTCACGTTACAAGAAAACCGACACAAAATAAATTTACTACTAGTCGACTTAAAACTACCAGGTATCTTTATATTTTAATTCTCCACCTTTGATTATATATAATATGGATTGAGCTAACAAAAATGTTGCTCAAGGTGAATAGACGCAGATGGAAAGCGATAATGTGAAAGTGTAACAAAGATAGATATATTATATGTCAGTACGCTTCTATATCTATCTCCCTTCTATCAGTACACCCATTATATGGCAGTACGCTTCTATGTCTATCTCGCTTCGATCACTTTGCGCAAACTATCTCTCTCGTTGGCTCAATCCATATTATATATAATCAAAGTTCTCCACATAATCATTTGAGATTATTAACTTTGTTTTAGTAAACCTAAGGGATCGATACAAACCACAAAATCGACCATTTCATCGCCATCTAACGATGGTAGGCCGAATCAGTCGACGAAACCTGCAACAGTTCCAACAAGATTCACCTTAAAACCGCCTCTAACTCAAAGTGGGTATCACGTGGCTAATTCTATTTTGGTTCATTCAAAACCCGGATGGCAAACAACCACCGAACCGGGATTTATAACCCTTTTAAATAACCAAAATACGATTTCAACGCAAACCAAACCGGTCACTCTATATCAATTTACAACCGAGCCGGGTTTCGTAACGAAACAAAAAACGAAACCTCCTTATAATAAGCCAACTAAACCAACAAAGAAACCTTTGTCTTTTACCACTGGTAAAAGTACCATAAAGTTTTCTTCTAAAACAACTTCAACATCTACAACAACAACAACAAAACCAACTACAAGGTAAATTTTTATTTAATAATAATCGTTCTCTATTCCTCGCTCCTTTTGAAATAAATGTTTTAGACAGTAATTGCTGAATATTATACAGGTGTCCCGCAACGATTGTACAAAACTACATCAGCGTATTCTATAATCAAAAATAAACAAAAAAAACTTAGTTAAAATGGACCATTTTCGAGATATTCAAAGATTTAGTTTCATAACTTGATATTGTTAACATCATGAATTTAAATTTGTTTTTATCAAAGAAATTGTATTGTTATACAATTTCTTTGGTTTTTATAATAATTAAGTCGTTACTATGATTACGATAAGTTGTCTAATCAAAAAAAAATAATAATACTTCACGAAATTATTATTTTACTATTTAATTTAATAAAACTATTAAGTATGGCTCCTATTAATTACTCCAAGGAAGAGATGGCGGATATGGTGTATTGTTACGGACTAGCTGATGGAAATGCGTCGTTAGCAGCTCGTCATTACGCGCAAAGGTTCCCGAACAGACGATTGTCTAATAGTCACACCTTTAGCAGACTATTTCTCAGATTAAAAGAAACGGGAAGCGTAACCCACAGCCATTCCACGGAGAGACATTACACAAGGCCGGTGGAATTAGAAGAAGCAGTTTTGAGAAGAGTCGATGAAAATGCCTCAACCAGCATTAGAAGAATTTCTGCACAAGAAAACATTAACTCTGCTTTATCCTTATCATTACAACACCGTTCAAGCTCTAACAGAAAATGATGGCGAAAAAAGAGAGATTTTTTGTAGGTGGGCCATACAGGAAGAGGTAGTAAACGTCGACTTTCCCATAAACATTGTATTTACGGATGAAGCAACATTTACTCAAAGCGGAATTTTTAATATTCATAATGCGCACGTTTGGAGCGATGAAACTCATCATCAGTGGCGATTCAGTGTTAATGTATAGGCTGGAGTTATAGGTGATCAGTTATTAGGTCCATTTTTTCTTCCAAACAGATTGACAGCCGATGCCTACATACATTTTTTACAAAATGACCTTACAGAGGCATTTGATGAATTACCTCAACAAATTCTAGAAGATTGCTACTTTATGCACGATTATGCACGCGCTACTCGAGCACACTTAAATAACAGATTTGGCAATAAGTGGATTGGCCGAGGAGGATTCACCAGATTTAAATCCGTTAGATTTTTGGTTTTGGGGACATTTAAAACAAATTGTTTATTCTGAAGATGTTCAAAATGTGCAGGATTTGAAGAATAAAATTAGTAACGCATTTCACACAGTAAAACAAATTCCTGGTATCTTTGAACGCATTAGACGTTCATTTAAAAAACGTATCCGTTTGTGTTTAGAAGTAAATGGTGCGCATATTGAACATTTATTATGACATGAATCTTTTCCAATTTGTTAAATATTCGTTGTTTTTATGCTGGTTGAACGATTTTCTTCGACAATCTTTGTTACTTGTTTTGTTAAATTATTAATGAACTGTATTAATTAACTTAATATTATCTTATTATTTATTAAACCTTATCTTAACCATCGCAACCATGGTAATCATATAATTACTGCATCTAAATTGTTAGAATTAATGATGTTTACAATAAGTCAGCTTATGAAACTAAAACTTTGAATATCTCGAAATTGGTCCATTTTCGGACCTATGTTTATAATATATATGTTTATTGATAATGCAACAAAGAATTTACAAGCCCACAAAAAAAATACAAAAAATAATACATAAAAGTAAATAAAATAATAAACACTCTGAAATTATCAACAAAGCCGGACTTAATAACAGCGTATCATCAAAAAGAGCCGAGTCAATGCAGACATAGCTTGTCTGCTATTGTTTTTCATCGGCCCTTTTATAATAGAAATAATAAATAAATTGGTTTCAAACAAGATAGCACTAACTATATATATATATATAAAAAAACTATATTAACAGAAGTAAGCACCTAAATTAGTTAGCAATGAAAGATAACAATAATAAGGAATAATAAAAAAAAAAACAACAAAATTAAAGAACAAAAACATAGCAAAATGAAGAAAAGGTTGAACAAGCTGCCGCGAACAATCTCCCCCTGCCCTGTTAGGTCATACAATTCAGAAATGTAAAAAGTGAATATTACCTCTTAATAAGAACTTAAATTTAAAATTTAAATTTAAATGCTGTTCTGCTCAATCAAAAGAATTTTTTTATAATATGACTTGAAACTTCGCTCACTCAGCTGCTTGACTGAATCAGGAAGGCTATTCATAATAGTAGTTACATTATAAGAGTAAGATCTTTTAAAGATTTGAAGTTCATGGCGTGGTATGCATAACATGTGCCGATGTCGTATATTAATATTGTGCACGTCACTGCGATACCTGATTCTATTGGCTAAATATGGTGGACATTTATACATAATAATTCTGTGAAAGAGGCAAGCACTGTGAAGGATTCTACGACGCGTCATATTCAACCAATTTGCCCAATTCAGAGTGTGTGATATGTTTTCCCGTCTTTTAATACCATATATAAACCTCAGACATGAGTTCTGCACTCTTTGGATACGCACTTTGGTTACAGAGTCTAAGCATGGATGATATAAAGCATCTCCGTAATTGAATATGGACAGAACAAGAGCTTCACATAATTGGATTTTCAAACGTTGGTTAAGTAAGCTCCTGTTACTGTACAATAATTTAAGCGTCACGTAGGCTCTACGAATTAGTGAAGAAACATGTCCACGGAATCGGAGTGCGGTATCAAGACGTATACCCAAATTACAGCACTCGTCCGTAAAATTCAATTTAACACCACCCACTCCGACACTCAGAGACCCCTTGACCCTGTTCACCACACCACCACTCCCAAATACCATAACTGCTGATTTAGACGGATTAATAATCAAACAATGATTTGAAGCTTCGTGGGCCAATTTGTCTAAATCAGAATTGATAGCTCTTTCAGCCTTGTCAATGTTATTCTCATTGAATGAGTAATAGACCTGAGTATCGTCAGCATACATGTGAGCAGTGCAATAGTCTAGTACTTTTGGTAAAGCAGCCGTATAAATTAGATAGAGCAGAGGGCCAAGAATTGAACCCTGCGGCACGCCTGAGGACACCACTGCTGCTGAAGATTCCTTTCCATGAAGCTTAACAGTTTGTGACCGATTCAGGAGGTAACTATTAAAAAACTTTATGGCACCCTCCGAAAGGCCAATATGGTGGAGTATTGCTAAGAGAGTGGGGTGGTGAATGGTATCAAAGGCCTTAGAGAAGTCCAAGAGAATCAGGATCGTGGCGCTTTTTTGGTCAATTGCATGGAAAATATCATCCGTGACATCGAGAAGGGCTGTCGTACAACTGTGTCTTGAACGAAAACCAGACTGACGGACTGGTAGAATATTAAATTTATTTAGATGCTGGGTAAGTCTAGTAGCAACCACTTTTTCCAGAATCTTGGACAATATAGGCAAAATACTTATGGGGCGGAGATCTTTAAGTTCCCGAGGGCTGGATGTTTTTGGAATTGGCGTGACTTGAGCAATCTTCCAAAGGTCAGGAAACACAGACAATTCAAGGCAATAGTTCACAATATGACATATATATGGTATAATTGTTGGACAACACATATTCAACATTTTAACACTAATACCGTCAACTCCAACTGTAGTTGTCTTAATGTTACAAAGAATATCCATTTCCTCTTCCGAAGCGAGAGAAAAGGACAGTGATTCGATGTCACCAGGGAAGATATTAGATTGATAATGCCGAATTAAATTAGCGTCACCCAACACACTGATCTGTGCATCAATTATTAGACTTTTCTTGTCTGTTTTCGATCAGAGAATACGCTGATGCAGTATTGTACAATCGTTGCGGGACACCCTGTATATACATAAATAACTATTATTTAATTAGATTAACAACAACAATACAATCAGTAATTCCAATAAATCCATCTCAAGAATCAAGTACAGAGCAAATGATCACCTCCACCTCCACCATTTCTGCAGTTCCACTTCACGAAGCTCGAAGTAGTAAGTAAAATATACAAAAACATCCCTGTTTCGCTTTCAATTCAATTCGGAAGTTTCAACTTTTAAGTATTTCAAGTTTTAAGTGCATCATTGTACAAGTTCTATCTATGAATACAACCTTTGTATTAAATCCTTTCTTTTCTTATTTACTTCATTTAAAGGTTGTGGTGTACCAAGTTTATTTCCTCAACCTCAAATGAGAATAGTCGGCGGAAAAGACGCTCCTTTCGGTCGATGGCCGTGGCAGGTAAGATAACAAAAAAGAATGTAACGAAAAGTTTTCGGGGAAGTAAATTTATCATTGCTCTATTCTGGCCATTCAAAAAGTTTCGGATCGGGTATTTTTCCTCGATCGCTTACCCACATTTCGGCCTCAATAAATCGTCTTTATGTCTAACTGATAAAAACAACGATGTTTACCTTCGCTTGAACGGTTGTTGTTTACCGGATTATTTTTGAAAGATTGATTTTATTTCCTTTTATCCCAATCGTTTTCACGTTTCTTTTTTTTTTAATTCGATTTTTGCAGGTATCCGTGAGACGGTTTGGTTTTCTAACCAGCACGCATCGATGTGGAGGAGCCATTTTAAATGAAAATTGGATTGCGACAGCTGGACATTGCGTAGATGAGTAAATAAATTTCAAATCATAATAGTATATTAAAAAACAAGTTTCGTAAGACACGCTTGAAATGAGACACGCTTTAAGTCTTATGAAACGTGTTTTTTATGCTATTTTTTGTAATTCGTGTTTTTATACTTTTTTCTAACAAAAATAAAGTAAATTTTGACAATGTAGGGAAATAGGTATGTAGCAGTTGGTAACACTTGAAAATAGAAACTTTGAATTGACAATTAGAAACTGTCAAAACACAAAATATATTCACCTGAAAAAAATGTTTGATGTACACCTCCCAAAATAAGAAAAATTGCTCAGAGTCAATGTCCTCATCATTGTGGAC